GAATTACTCCAAAAAAATTTTTTTTATATTTTTAAGAATTTAATATTTTTAAACACTAATCCAGCCCGACCGTTTAAACTCGACCTTTATTTCCTATTTGTTGTGTATTACATATTACAATTTTAAAAGATACCTTGTTTAACATTCTTAATATTTTTCTTGAGAGTATAATTATTAATGTGAGAGATAATTTTACAAAAAAAAAATGGAGATAAAGGAGATACACTATGCGTTTGAACGATATAAATCTGCAAGAGTAAAAGGACTATATGTAACGTCACGTCGAAATGTCACGTTTTTTGTAACGAAGCGAGGAAACAGATCGCGTATAAAATGTATTTCCTGTCAATCTGTGTCGTACATTGCGAGTCTTTTCTCTCACGGTAAGCGACAGGATTCGTAACTATGTATCTTCGTTTCATTCACGACACATGTAAGCTGCCAGCCTTCCTGTGGTCGTCCATCAATTAATCACGCAAGGTAATTAGCGTCACACAAAAAGGAAAGAGCACATCGCGACCATGCGATAATTATCGTAACTAGCTTCGAACGTTTGCATTTGCCAGATCGCTTCGAATAGGAATACGAGAGGGATGCAGTGGTGCATTAAAAGGGATGAACTGACGTGAAGAGACAACCGAGGGATGAACGCACGTCGGCGGGGAAAGAGGACGTAAACGTAGTCGCTCTCGCGGTTCACATTCTGTATAATTACGGCAAATTAGTGCGACGTTACTGTGATGTCACTGAACCGTGACTTACGCTCGATAACGAGCGCGTGTTTAGTTATGCGATATTCCTGCGACAACGGCTGCTAGATCGTTGATTTTGATGTGTCCGCTAGCGATTTTAATTCAATCTAATCACGAAGTACGAACGTATTGGAGAGAATAATAGCATTCGATATTCTTACTCGACTATTAGAGAATAATGGATTTCATTTTGCGATACAATTGAAGGTTACCGCAACAATAAGCATATGTTGTAAAAACGTTTGTAAAAACACAGAAAATAAATACTAAAATTAAAGAGGTGGGAAAAATATATATGTTTATTTGCACATGCTGCAAAAATTCTGTCATGTTTTGGCATATGTTCGAAAAATTTATTACGCAGATCGTGAATAAAGAATATGAGAGGAATAAAACATTTTTCTACATAAAATGGTTACATTGCTCAGTGGAAAAAAAAATATGAATCACTGTGTAAACATAACAGTAGATTAGACCAATCTTTGGGACAAATAGAAGACTCTGTTCATCCATTTTTATCTATAAGAGCTCTGGGTTTATCTGTAGAATAGCACAAATCTTTTATATAAGCCAAATATATATATATCGTACCTATTTCTCTGAAGCATTTTATATAACCAGATTTACAATAAGAACAAAAAAGATGTCTCGCCTCAAGAGATAATTTGTTCAGCATAACTACTTTCCCAAAGCATTGACTGTAATAAATAACTCATGTTGTAAAATTACGAAACTGCTCGCGTTGCGAATATTGCGAAAGTTTCATTTGTGAACGGTAAAGTTAACAAACAATCTTTTCGGGATAGATACATGTTTCTTAATCAGCGGTACCGATGAAATAGAAGCCGAAGAACAACAGCGTATACGCGACCGAGATTTCGCATTCTGTGTTTAGTTCTAAACTAACTTATATTAACTCTCTCGGATTATCTTTGAAGTGCCCCTTATAACCGCCGGAAGATTACAACTTGAGGAAATTGTTCGGCAGACGAGAGCTAAAGTTCGACACCTGTCGAGTCCCGAGACTGGATAGCTACTTTGCTGAGACTCTCAAGTCATCTTGGATGTGGATCTCAAGTGTGAAATGTCAAAGTGTCGTAGTACTTAAGATTAACGCTTCCTCTATATTACTGCCATTAGTATTGTTTTATGACGTTAAAATATTGTGAGACATCTTCATTTTTCTTGAAAAAATCGATTAAAAAAATATGCAGCTCTTATCTAATATATATCTTATTCAATTAAAATAATGATAATTGAATAGTAGTAATTGAATAAGCTGTTCTGTACAAATTATTATATAAAAATATAAAAATTTATAGAGAATACGCGAGACTAAACATTTATTATATTAAAATAGCTAATGAAGAAGAACAAATAAAAGTCAAGCGCAATAATAGCGCATTATTAATATATCAAATATAAATACTATATACGACAAAAGTTACGCTGATAAAATAATACAGAAATAAAATACATTGCAGTGTAAAAAACAAAGTTGAAAGCGTAGCACTTGTTAAAATATTTTTTAAAACGTGTGGAAAACAGTAATGTCCACACGTATTTTGCTTGCATTTATTTGAACGTGACGTTTCATTATGATATTTTATTTCATTATATTGGATTATGAGATATTATAGAATAATCAAGTATAATAAATAGAATAAACTTGTGATAGTTGCACATATCATTGTGTGTACAACACGCAACACATTATCAGTATATTAAACTCGTATTTTAGCGATGCAGCGTTTCATAATTAAGAGTGCGCAAAATGGCGTCGAGCGTCTATGCATTTTATCAGGTTTCCGGCATGAAGATATGAAGATATAAAAATATAGCGGCTGCATTTGTCCCCGGTGCTCGTTTCTCAGGGACCTTATTACATGGAAATATTACGCCGGGCTCACGAACAGGGACGAGATAACGATTCGCGAGGAGCGATGTGGTACACTTTTTCTTCGGTATTAGACAGCCAAGGTGGGAGCACTTCATTTCAATATTCCTCGTATTATTAACGGTCTTTTGTCGACTTCGGGAAGTCCTCTCGACAAAATCGTCGACGAAGCGACGAGAGCAGCATTTATCGTCGTCACGATTCGCATCTTGTGTATCCGTAACGAAAAATTGTCGCGAACGAGTGAACAGGATCATTCTTCATTAATATCCGATGTCATGTGACTCGTGACGTTATGTTACTTACATGTCACGCTGATATATGAAATACGAACTTGCATGGAGTAAAAGTGAATGAATTGAAATTCGCGGATTAACGCACCGTCGCGCTTTTGTTGTCGTCACGAAAAATCTTGCAGCTACGATCGGTCAATCGTGAATCGAATAGTCGAATTAAAATTTCGAAACCAACGTCGACAGCGCTGTGCGTCAATAACGACGTCACTTATACCGTGTCACTACCTATTTCAATTACAAATTTTATTCAATATTTATCCGCAAACTTTTCACTATGATGCGAATCCACATTGTTAAATGTAAAACGGTCTCCGGACGCGTGTTTCGCTGAACTCGCGTAAAACTTGGAAAATGGCTCGTTAAATTGCGTCAATTATGCGCATTGTTTGCCTTGCGTGAGTTTTACGAAACTGACTCTGTGTGATAAAGATGTACTTTTTGAAATTATGATAAACGCTCAATTAAATCAAACTATCGAGTTTGAGAAAATCAAGATACGTTATTGATAAATTTTGTACTATTTTTGAAGAATTTGTATTATTTTTATACGAGAAAACTTCGCATGCAGCCTTAATGTAAAATAATCTTTTTTTATCATTTTTTGAATGCACTAAAAGTTTTTTAAATTGACTGTTTTAATATTACATATTTATAGCGTAACAATATATAATTTAATCCCTTCTATTGAAAGTCAATGGATCAATTGGAACTATTATTGGAACTATTATTCTTAAACTCCAAAACACAATAGGTGCAGTAAACTTTAGGTCTTAAGAAATTGACAAATCATAGTCGATTATTCGACTATGATTGCTCAATTTCTTGCTTACTACATCTATTGTGTTTTGGGATTAATGCTTGAAGTAAATACTCTGTGCTTTGCTGAAGTTCGCTTTTAGATACGTCAGTTAAGCGGTTTCATAGATGACTGATTTAATTGTGATATTTATTGATCGAAACTGTATCGCATGAATAGAGTATTCCAATGTTAATTGAGGTTCATTGCATAGTTGAACGGCTGTATTCTGAAATCATGCACTAAATGTGAACGCTGGAGAAACTACGATCTCGGAGATAAAAAAGAATTGACACGGCGCTTTAAAGAAATTGGATTTGAAAGGCAAATTTAATAACTCGAGAGCTAATGAATAAAAGCGATTGAATGATAAACTTGGAGTCGAGTCGGTCAGGACGACCGCGAAGAATTTGAAAGAATTAAAGAACCAGTGAAGCATAAAAACGATTGGCGGAAGAAAAGAATGGGAATTGTACATTTTCATTTTCGGAGCAATATACTCGGAAATATATTTTTCCAATATACCAGGATGCTTCATTGAGTAAATCTCAAAATGATTAGTCTAACAAGAAGTACAACAATGTATAGCGTAAATATAAGAATTATTTTGTCTAGACAGTACAGAGAGAGATTTTCGCGTACTACGAAATATCTTTACTGCAAAAATCTGTTTGCAAACTTATGGATTGATATTTATGACATATCAGTCTCTGCAAAAAGTGACTGAAATTGATAATTTATACTTTCTGTATAGATCTGAATGTTATACATATACATAAAACATTTTAATATTTATATGTATTTAACAATACATTGTTATAGTTTAAATTAAATTAAATTTTTTTTTCGTTTTATATTATTTTTCGAAAATTTTCGTGTCTATTTCTTAATAATTTTTGATCCACATTCTAAATCACTTTGCACTACCTACTTTCTTAAATTTTTCAAAACATTTACTTACTTGAATTTGTATTACCTTCAAATATAATCTAGATAAATCTGTAATTTTTGAATAATTTTTTTATTGATGATAAAAATTTACATTCTTCGCACGCAATGTATATCACGTAACTTAGAGCATTGATTTCAGAGAAATGCATGATATGTATGAAATAATACGTTCTCTTATATTATAATACATACATTGAGAAATTGCAATTTGTTTCGAGCTTTAGCATTCAGGACATGCATTTCTGCATGTCAGCGAGTCGATTGGCCCGCGAATAAGTTGGAAACGGTTCGCATCGACAAATACTCACTCGGATCCTTGACGGCTGTGATGACGAGGCGGAAGCCATTCGAGCTGGTGCCCCAGCCGTCGGTGACGTATTTCAACGTCACGAAGTTTGTACGCGTGTAAATCGCACCCACGGTCTGCTTCGTGTTTCTGCAGGATAGGTCTGCCTGGAAACAAAAGAAAATTGCGTTCGTTGAGTACATGCCACTTGAAGGAGGGAGGCAAAGGGATGGGAAGGGTGCCTTTTTTGCAGACGCTCGTGCTAACGATGCAAATGTCGCGAGCGTGATATCGAACGAACATGGGGCGGACGACGTGCGCTTGATTTACGCGCGGATAGTTTTATATTGCAATGGACTAAAAGTCCCAATCGATTCTGTTCATGGAACGTCACGTGAAATGTGATTTATGTTGCTGCACATCTGCGAGATTTGCGAGAGAAAAGTAAATTTGACATGAAAACTTTGCGTACTTGAAACCTTAAGGATGTTATATTGATATTTATTTTAATCCTCGATTTGTAGAAAGTGCACTTTTCATTTCTTCCTTTACATACGTCTCTTTGTCTGTTCCCTTCCGATGAATTCTTTTATTACTACATCTAACATTTTTATTCGCTGTGCGAATATTACTGAGAAAAGAGAAAACATTTTTAAATTTCTTGTACGGTTTTAAAAGCGTGTAAGAAAAATGAGGAATGTAGATCCATATTGCTCGTGATATTACGCGTATTACCAAGAATAATAAAAATGTTCTCTTTTACATGTCATTAACTGTTCCCTCGCACTTTATGAATCAGCCGGCAATGATAAAGGGACCGTAATTTCACCGTGGCGAAAGTCAGAATGGCAGCTTATAAAGGACCACGTAAACGTCAAATAATGTTGTTTTCCGAGATGGCGGGTACTTTTAATAAAGCGGCTATCCGCACATGGTGCGCGTATCTATCTCTTTTTTTTTTTTTTAGGAGTTTATGTCGGGGCATTTGTAAGCCAGCTTAAAGCGCAGCTTGACGCAAAACAAAAATAACATATCCCCGCAGTAGATAATCCTGAAATACGAGCCGTAGATATCAATTCAAGCAGCAGCAACGAAACTGTGGTCGGCGAGCAAGAAATTTATTCGTAGATTTGCAACGCGGTATCTCGCCTGTTTGCCTCGAGACACGAGCAACGTAACACTTGTTGCACCCCCACGACAGTTGCGAAAGAAACCGGAAACAAACGGCTGTATGAAAATAAAAAAAAAAAGATGTAGGCGATAGCATGTATCGATTATTTTGTGCAGCGCTCTTTTTTAAGCTTTTAATGGCTTAAAAGTATTGTTGTATTGACTTCGCTTATACATGACGCACGAAAATGTCGCCGAAGTGGCTTTCGACAAAATTGACTTTATTACATTTATCGATCATAACACAAACAATTTTTGTAAAGTAAGTCTGCATTGCTAAAGCGACTAAAATCTTTTTGATCACATTGATGAAATATTTATCAAAAATCAAGTGTACGCGAGAAAATAACCGAATCGCAGCGATAACTAAATGCAAACGTTGTGTTGCTTTTTCGAGAAAGCAATTTGCGAGAATTATATTTTTCAATGTTTGTGTGATATTTAGAAATCAAATCTGCGCGGCGAGTAAGTTTTATTTGTTAACAAGCATTGCGATCGCGTAAAACATATAATTTATCGCGCAGTCCTTATCTGGTATCGCGAAAATTGTAATTTCGTGCAGTGGAAAATTCAGAGAGAAAGAGAAAGAAGGAGTTTCACGATGATAACAGTTTAAATTACATTCCGCACATGCGCTTCCGCATAAACAACTTTTATTGAGATTTTAACTTTGTTGTACTGTGCACAAACGTTAGTCATACACCTGCATTTCTAGCTCGGACTGCATTCGAAATGCATTCCTTTCTCCCTTTTTTGTCTTTTGATCAGTGGCTTTGTTATCGCAAAATATTATTGAATCTATCCGCAGGCTGTTTAATAACTGTCTTCTTCTCGTTCCAATTAGCGTGAACAAGAGATTGAATTTTACCAGAGATAATCCGCATTTAATTATCTCTTCTCGCTTCGATCATTAGCTTCTATCTTTCTACCCTTTTTCTCCTTTTCTCTCTCTTTCTCGTTGTCTCTCTTTCCCATCTCCCATATTGCAAAAACGCCAACGCCAATCTCTGCGTATCAGATGAACGGAAATAATTAGCACGCTGAGTGAAACTCCCGAGTGCTCGTATTAAGAACGCAAGCAGAATATGTGCAAAAATTTAAAAATACCAACTTTTCATCCTCATTTAATTTCACCTGTGATTTTTATTAAAATTAATTCTTATTAATTGTATTAGTATTGGAATGTATAATAATCTTTGTAAAATCTATAAGAGAGTAATAATGTAATTTTTATTATCGTACTTTGTTATATTATAGAAAATTATAATTCCCATTGAAATTAATTTTCTGTCGACATATAATAATTGCAATTTATCATTATTTCAGGACTGTACGATGAAACCGATTAGACAAGAATAGTTGTATTGGTATGAATTGCTACATAATTATAAATACACTAAAAATCATCATGTATTCTCAAAATAGCTAGATCGCAAAATTAAATCTCATGCAGTTTTTAAAAATATATTTGCTGCTAAAATATATTATATAGCAATATCAATATTTGTTAGCTTTCTGTTTTTAGAATTTTTAAGATACACAACACTTCTTTTTTTCAAATTAAAATAATCTTTTTTAAGTCTGAAACTTATTCTTAGTTCTTTAATTGCGAATTTTTTAAATTCTAATTTTATAATTCAATGTAATATGATATTATTATATTGAATAAATATATATATTATTGTATTATATATTCAATAATATTGATTGTGACAACATAATTGTCTCACATATATTAGCGCAATGTGTATTCACGCAAACAAATGGAATACTATGCAATTTTAAAACGCAAATGTATAAATATTGCCGGCTCATAAACCTTTTTTACAATTTAAATCGCAAACTGTAACAATGCATTTTTCGTGAGATATACAAAGTAATTTAGGATAAGCTGATCGTTAAATATTATTCGTCGTTTAAGCCACGAAGAGCAACATGCTTGCGCAATGTATTAGAAGATAACACAAAATGAGGAAAAAGGAATAAAATAACGTTCTCAAAAAAGAAAAAGGTAAATGCTCGAGAAACTGGGTCGCTGAGAATAAAGTTACGGAATAAAGTCCTCAGTTATATAAGAACGCAAACTTTGCTGGTCGCTAATAATTGTAGAAGGAATTGATAAAGCCAAGAAAAAACTGCGCAACCTACATAAATTTCGTATCGTTGCCAATCGCGAATGTGAGTTATTTCTCTTGTATTTTGCATTTGAAAATACTTATATATATTATAGTACATCAAAATATTCTGCATGAGCAGTTATTCGCGCACATTCGACTAATGTATACGAAATTCATTTCACTCAAATTGTTATTGTCATTAGTCGCACGTTGCAATTATTCAGACAATCTATTAAATCCTATCAATCAAACCGTTTATTTTTATTAAAATAACGTAACTACAATTTTGCACATTTGAATGATATGCTAATGCATTGTATATTACATCGATTGTAAATGAACGAATTTTCGATCAACAAAAATAACTTATTGAGTAAATTGCTTAATTATCCATAATATTATTTCGCAATATATTGATTATTACGTATCGCGAAAAACTCTACAGTCCAGAGTTGTTTTTCCGATCAAGATTTTCAGATCGAGCTGAACATTCTCAAAAGAAGGAATCTTGTTGTTTGCACACAGAAAAAAAAACTATTCTTAGATCAACCATAATATAACTCATATATAAGCAAAAATATTGTAAATATTAAAGATGCTTGCTTTAAAGATATTAGTCTCAATTTGATTAAATTTATTTTGATGCAAGTATTACTTTGCACTCAATTCAAGACTTGCTCAATCAAAAATCTTACATCAATACAAATTCAGTCAAGTCAAGACTAAAATTTTAAAACAATATAGAACAGTCTTTTTTTTCTGCATGTATGACAAAGACATAAGAGATTACGTGAATGTCGTTATAAACACGGAATTTGCAGTTTGCTATGTTGTTCCACATTCGATATTCATTGCGACATGACATCGATGATTGGCGATAAATTTTATCAGCGAGAATTTTTCACGCTAGCTCGTAAACAATTACGATAATCAAACATTACAGTTGAATTTAATTGCCAATATCTCGCCGTTGGATGGAGGTCAGTCTAATTTGCGATCGCATTATTATCGGCAATACAGTAGGCGTACGGTGATTCACTCTCGGACTGATCTATAGGGTCTATTTGCGAGCGGCAAATTGTGTACTCTGTCTGGTATTAGGATTGCGTCCGTACGGCGGTTTAATAACGTGCTCGCCGATCGACCGCATGTCAACTGGACGAGCACTTGTCAATTCCGACGACGAGAGTCATCGATCATGCACGAAACGTAGGGTTAAGTAATCTGCATCGTCAAGCAGACAGCCAAGCTGTAGACGTAATGCCGGCGGCAGGAAGGGTTGTTCTTGTAGTTGCACAGGGTGCTGGTTCACCCTTTGATATGCCGCTGACGTACGCTTAGAGAAAATGAACTGACATGTATATAGATTTGAAGAGCTAAGTGCCTAAATCTGGATATCTCCAGGTTTGTTCGCGTTGCTTACACTCCTTGCACTCGATATCACGATATCTTCACTTTCTCTCTTTTCAATATAGGAGAATTGTTTATTTCACCTTAAGTGCAAAAAATTTTGAGAAATTTTAAATAACGCGAATAGGCATAATCTTGATATTAATTCTGGAATTCTAAATGTCGCGGTTTTAATTAAAGAGCATTTTTTAAAATAAATCTACGTCCTTTCATTCACACTGTAAGAAATAATAATTTCTGTTGGAAGTTTTTATCCAACAAAAATGTGCTATAAATTTAATTATATTGCAAAATTACAATAACATTTTGTGGTAAAGTATATGCAAATCTCTAATACGCATCAGTTTTGTAAATTCACAACTATCTATTATAAATTTACAAATATTGTGAAATCACAGTAAACTGTTACATGGTTTGTACATTTACTGAACATTTTTATTGTAAGGATATTATTGTAAATTCACAAAAAA